ACAAGAAATTCAACAATATCTACAATTTAATGACATCTCTTTCTTTTTTTTTTTTTTTTTGGCACAACCGAGGATTGAACTCAGGCCCTAGCACTTGCCAGGTAGGTGCTTATTCTACTGATCCATCTCCCTGGCCCCCTGTACAATTTAATGAAAATTCAACCACAATTTATGGGAATTTATTGGATATGATGAAAGCTGTTCTCAGAGGGAAATTCAAAGCTGTGAACTCACACATCAGGAAAACAGAATGGGAAGAAATAAACACATTAATGCTGCAACTCCAACATCTAGAAAAGGAAGAGCAAACAAAACCCAGAGCCCAAAGACAGAAGAAATCATAAAGGTTAGAGCAGAAATTAATTCAATTGAGACAAAGAAAACAGTTTAAAGAATTAATGAATCAAAAAGCTGGTTCTTTGACAAACCAAATAAATCAAAAGCCCCTAGGTGACCTCATCAAAAAAAGAAAGAAAAAATTCAAATACAAGCAATAAGGAATGAAAAGGGTGTGATCACCACAGACCCAGTGGAAATTCAGAAGATTGAGTAGCAACTTTGAGAATCTTTATGCTTACAGAATAGAAGACACAGATGAACTTGAAAGATTCCTAGAAAGATACAAATTACCACAACTGAAACAACAATATATAACCACTCTCAATAGCCCAATAACAGCCAATGAAATATGAGATGAATTAAAAAGCCTACTGACAAAGAGAAATTCAGGTCCAGATGAATTCACAGCTGAACTTCATGAGAAATTTACAGAAGATATAATACCTATACTCCTCAAACTCTTCAATGAAATTGAAAAGGAAGAGGTCATTCCAAATATTCTGCCAGGCAAGTATTATGCTGATTCCAAAACCAGGAAAATGACACAACTAAAAGAGAGAACTATAGGCCAGTCTCCCTCATGAACATAAATACAAAAATCCTCAATAAAATCCTAACAAGTAGAACAGCAAATCATCAAGAAGATCATACACCACGGCCAGGTAGGATTTGTCCCAGTGAGGCAAGGATGGTTCAATATTCAAAAATCTATAAATGCAATACATTATATAAATAGGGTGAAATGTAAAAACCACACGATCATCTCAATTGATGCAGAAACGGCTTTTGACAAAGTCCAACACTCATTAATATTCAAAGTCATACCGAAAATTGGAATATAAGGTCTCTAATCCAATTTGATAAAAGCCATCTATGACAACCCAATGGCTAATATAAAATTCTAAATGGGGAATAACTGAAATCTTTTACTCTCAGATCTGGTACAAGACAAGGATGTCCTCTAACACCCCTACTATTCAATATAGTTTTGGAATTATTAGCCAGATCATTAGACAAGAGGGAGAAATAAAAGAAATAAGAATAGGTAAAAAAGAATTTAAATTATCATTATTTGCAGATGATATCATTCTTTACTTGGAAGACCCAAAAAGTTCCACCAAAAAGCTATTATAATTGATATACAAATTCAGCAGCATAGCAGGATACAAACTCAATACACAGAAGTTAATCACATTCTTCTACACAGATAACAATCACACTGAGAGAGAAATAAGAGAAACAATACCTTTTACAATAGCACCAAGGAAAATGAAATTCCTTGGAATTCATTTAACTAAAGAAGTCAAAGATCTTTTCTCACAAAATTACAGTACTCTGAAAAAAGATAGTAGATGATTTCATAAAATGGAAAGATATTCATTCGCTGCTTCTGAATAGAAAGAAACAACAACGTGAAGATGGCCATACTGCCAAAATTGTTGTACAGATTTAATGCAATCCCTGTCAAACTGCCACCAACATACCTCTCAGTCCTAGAGGAATCATTTCTAACATTTATTTGGAATGAGAAATGTCCTAGATTAGCAAAGGTAGTCCTTGCCAACAAAGACAAGGCAGGAGGAATTACAATTCATGAATTCAAAATATACTACAAGGCTACTGTGATAAAATCAACATGGTTTTGGCAAAGAAATAGACCTGAGGATCAATGGAATAGATTAGAAGATGCAGAGACCTCTACAAACACATTCAGCTACCTGATCTTTGACGAAGGGAATAAACATGCTTACTGGAAGAAAGGGAAAATCTGGCTCTCTATATGCTGAAAAGTAAAACTTGACCCAGGTCTATCACCATGCACTAAGATAATGTCAAAATGGATTAAACATTTCAATATTAAAACAGAAACACTAAATCTTCTGGAAAAGAGAGTAGGAGGAACTCTTGAAAACATGGGGTAGGCAAAGAGTTCATGAACAAAAATCAAATCGCATGGGTAACACTTGAAAGAATAACCAACTGACTCCAACTCTTATTGAGAAGTTTTTGCACTTCAAAAGAAATTACCAACAAAGTGAAGACAACCCCCAATTTAGAAAAAAAATCTTAACTAATAAGCACTCAGACAAAGGTCTGCTATCTAGAATTTATAAAGAACTAAAATACATTAGGAAACTGTCTCATTGCTATATGTTTATCAATAAAACTTTGAAAATAAAAATAAAATAAAATAAAATAAAATAAAATACATTAGGGCCCCTAAATTTAAAGACCCAATCCAGAAATGGGCATCTAAGATGAACACACACTTCTCAGTGGACAAAATTTGAGAAGCGAATAAATACATGAAAAAATGCTCCACATCACTAGCCATTAGTGAATTGCAAATTAAAACAACACTGAGATACCATCTCACCTCAGAAACAATGGCTATCATAAAAAAATCAACCAATAACAAATGTTGGAAAGGCTGTGGGGAAAAGGGAACATTTCTCCACTGCTGGTGGGAATGTAGACTGGTGCAACCATTATGGAAAACAGTGTGGACACTCCTTAAGAAACTAAGACTGGAAATCCCAATCAAGCCAGCTACCCTCCTACTCAGAATTTTCCAAGAGGAACTGAAAACATCATATCATAGTGATATATGTGTACCTATGTTTATAACAGCCCAATTTGTGAGAGTTAAATCTTGGAAAAACCAAGATGCCCATCACATGAGGAATGGTTGAAAAAGATGTGGCATTTTTTACAGTGGAGTATTACTCAGATAGATAGAGAGAATGATAAACTTGAAGCATTCATTTTTAAGGGCATGCTACTTGAAAGATGTACTCATAAGTGAAATAAACCAGAACCACATGTGTAAATATCGTATTGTCTTCCTAGTTAAGAACTCAAAAGAAGAAATACAAATAGAAAGATATAACACAACTAAAAGGAAAGTGAGAACTTGATTGGACAACAAGGAGAGAGTAAGGAGAAAACCTTGGAAACAGGACAGGGACAAAGCCATACATTTGTACACACAAGATGGGCAAGGCAATGATCCTGAGAAACATCAGCAGGGTTTTGTAATTAGCTCTTAATTGGTTGGATTCTCAATCCAACTAACTATATATGCTGATACTTGTGAATCAAGCAACTGCACTGAAGATAGCAATTTGTTATAGAAGGTTCACACTTGGAATGCCTGTCATTCTGGCATTCCAGACAAATGCCAGAATGAGATATATAAAGTAAAGTCACATTAATACGCTGAGCTGTAAAAGGCTCTAGTCAACAACTTCTTCGATATCCCAGTCCTATTGTGGACTACTGGACTGTTTTGGATTTTGATGAATTCAAGCACCTGTAATATTTAGATACCAATAGAATACCCATCTCTAAGAGGACTAAACTAAAAACAGGGGTAAAGAGGAAGGACTATTTTGTATTTGTATATACAGAATAGTTGGGATAGATATACAGCTACTTTCACTTAATTCAGTGAGAAGAAAGATTTGTAGTAAGAGTGTTTGGACAGGTTATCCTGTCTGCTTCTTGGGCTATGGATAACCACTAAGACAATAACAATGTACATTGTATTAATTATTGAAAATGTCCTATTAATCAGCTTTGAAACTGTCTCACTGATACTTGTTTCTCAATAAAACAAAAAAAAATCACAACTACTCCATTGTCTTTGTGAGAAAGTATTGTGCTTGATTTAACAATTTCTTTTCTTATCAGTTTTTCAGAGAAGGTTTTGAGAAAGCAGCTGTAGAAAATGAAACCAAGAATAAATGAACCACATTTTTTAAATATGTTTGTTTGTTACAGTGTCTCACTATGTAGCTGACTCATAGTGATCTTCCTGTTTTCAGCCTCCCCCAGTGCTGGCATTACAGGTGTAAGCCACCATGCCTGGTTGCATCCCTGGTTAGGACCAGTATAGCATGTGTCAGTGGTCTAACTCTGGTGCCTGCGCTTACCTAAGGAGTCAATTAATCCTCTGAGCTATCTTGTGGGCCCTCAGAAGTGATATTTTTCACAAAATAACTTTGGATAAACACTGATGTAAATAATGGACAAGTAATTTGTCAGACACTGTTACTTATTTTGAAAGGACAGCATGAATAAATATAATGGCATGAATAGAAATGTGTGCTATCAATGTAAAGTTAATCAATGGATGGTAATGGTGACAGAAACGTAATAGGCATAAAAGGAAATGCAAATGCTTTCTCTGATTTATACAGAACATAGAATTATTTTTGTGTGTTCACTTTTAGAAAGTTATATATCACGGCTAGGAAATCTTATTCCTTGTTGAAAAGCATGGTTCCTAACTATGTAACCAGTACACACACACTGAGAGCATGCTCTGCACAGCAGTTTCAAGTTTAACAACTCTGAGAGCAATTGTTCTAACCAGAGGAAACAGACAGCAAAGTAGGATACACAAGTGACTGATTTCAGAAACTTGTAGTATCCCTTGGAATCTGGGGGCAAAAATAAAAATTCATAACAAATAACCACTAGGTTTTGAATAATTTCACAGTATTTCATAATCTACCATTTTAAAGGAAATGAAAACTTCAGTTTTTTAGAGCTTTCAACCTGTACCCATGCCCACTTCCAAAGGCTTCCAGCCAGTTTAAAGCACAAATGGAACCTTAGATGAAAGAAACGCCCCCACCCAGACTCTGCTCCAGTACCTGGAATCAGCTTCAAGGCATTCTCCAGGTACTGATCTGCTGTAATGGGCTGACCCTGCAACTTCAGCTCCAGCATGAAATCTCGTACAATCCAGCAGAAGCTGGGGAAGAAACTCACAAACTCTATCGAATCTTGTACTCCATCAGAATTTGAGGAAGACTTTGACCTGATGTGTTTTGTGAGCTCTGTCACATAACTGGAGTTGGTTAAGGAAAAGAATACTCCTACTAATAATGCCCAGGTTTCCTTCACTGAGAATTATCATAAACAATCTTTTTTGCCCAAGGTCACTCATGATCCACCAAAATCATCTAAGTCACAGGGAACAAAAAATATTTCAATCCTATTTCCCAAAAGCTCCCCATGTCATCTCATAGCTCAGATTCTGGAAGGATACTGCAGCTGCTCCAGGGCCTGCTGGTCGATGGTGCCCATGCTGTTGTAGATAACTGTGCTGCTCAGAAGCACTGCCAGGGCAAAGATCCAGGAGTCATTCTTAGGGTCACCCTAGAAATCAAAGGAGTTTAGGAGTCTACTCCAGAATTTCATTCAGACATTAACATTATCAGTTTTTTATTTGCAAATTCTATGCAAAGATGACAGACTGCAAGTAATAGCTCCAACCATTATTATAATTTTATAGTAATGTTATATGAAAAGAAGATTATAATCTTTATGAAGTTCTGCTTTCCACATATTAGAAAACATCAGAGAACATGCAGAAGCACTAGTACTGGGGGAGGTTTTACATAGTATATTCAGTGATGGACATTAATGTCTTCATTTTGGCATATTTACTGATACATAGATCTTATATAAGAAAAATGTATATTTTGGAGATTTTGGGTAACAAGTACAAAATTTGTGGTAAGAAAGAAATATATTTGAACACTACAGTTATGAAGAGGAGTAAAAGGAAAAATTTCTCTTTATATGAGGGTGATAATGTTTTCTTATTTATTTGTTCTGATATGACAACAAAAAGGACAGGGGACAAAGAAAAATTTGGACATGTCAAACAGCATTCTACTAAAATGGTTCCTGGTGGGAGAGGAATCAATCATTTGGAAAAGCCAGTACATTACAGAAGAAAATGTTTTCTAAACCATGTATTTGGTAAGAAGTTAATATTAAAATATTTAAGGAATTTTTGCAACTCAAGAGAAAAACTGAGCAAAAAATCTAATTGAACATGAGCAAACAACTCTAATACATATTTCTTCAAAGGAAATATATATAAAATCAGGAGATTTGCAAAAAGGTGTTCATTGTCACTAATCCTCAGGAAAATAGAAAACCAAGCAAACAGGAGAGATAAAATGATCATGAATTATACTATTATGAAAAGTAGAACATAACAAGTGTTGATGAAGGTTGAGAATGGACAGGGGCCATTTTGTCTATTGATTGAAATAAAAATTTATGCAGATATTACAGAAAATATATTTTATTTTATTTAAAATATTAAAAAGTAGAATCATTGTATGACCCAGCAATTTATTCTAGGTATATATCCCAAGGAAGTGAGATCAGTGCACTGTGTGTTTACTGCATCACAGCTCATAACAGGCACCATTTGAAAAAAGTCTGAGCATACAGGATCACTCAGTGGATGAGCAAGTGAACATAATGAGAATACTTTTATCTAAGCAGAGAAAGGAAGAGAATCTTACATTTTATGTTAACAAGAAAAAACCTTAAGGGTGATACACTTAGTGAAACAAGCCAGATGCAAAAAGGCAAACACTCACTATCATTTTTAGTGGTTGGATATGAAATAGTAAAACAAAGCAAAGCAAAACAAAACAAAACACAAAGTCAATCCATAGTAGTAGAAAATGCAGTAGTAGTTTTTAAGATCTGGAGGCTGTTGGAAATGTACAGACCATGTACAAAAGAAATGAAACTTTAGTTATGCAATATACATCATTTCTGGAGAGCTAAGAAATAGCTTGGTAACCATAGCTAACATAGCACAACATTGTATACTTGAATTTGCTAAAAAGCTAGGTTATACATGGTTACACTGCAACAAGGACAAAGAAAACAGCGATTGCATGTGGATAATTTTATTTGTTGGCATTTCACAATATATATAAAAATGCCGTTCCAATATACACCCTAGTATAAACTTTATTTGTTGATTATGTCTAAATAAAACTGAAAACCATAAACAAATTTATCACTTCTTTTGACAGAAATTGAGAATATTTGATTTTATACACTATTCTCAAATACATCATCAAGGAAGGGAATAATGACCAATCATTACGTTCATGTATTGTTAGGATGCTAAAATACCAAAATTCCTTTTTTGATGAAGCAAGAAAAATTAATTCTCCTTTCATGATGGCAGAGAGGCTTAATATTTTTGTGATGTTTTTCTTTTTATTTTTTATTAATTTTATTGAGAAACAAATAGCAATGAGACAATTTCAAAACTGATTAGTAGGACAGATTCAATAATTAATACATTGCCTACCGTTATCCTCATGGCCATTATTTGTAGTACAAGATGCAGACATGATATCCTGTCCAAACATTATTAGTACATATCTTTCTTTTCATTGAATCAATAGAAAGTAGCTGTATATACTAACACAATTCCATCACAGAATATTCACCATAGGAAAAAATGTTCTATAGAACCAGCACATTTAAAGGCATATCAGAGACTTCCAGAATGTTCTAAGTATAGTTGGGGAGATTCACTATAAGAAACACTCAAATGTACACTTCAGCTTCAAATGTGAAGTGGATTAGAGGCCTCCGCTCAGCCGCTGAGATGGGGCTGGTGCCTCAGCCCCTTCCACTCCACGTACCAAAATGCTGCACTGTATGTGGTGAAAGAGTGATGGCAGCATGCAGGGCCCTGTACAGCTGAAAAATTAATTGCTTGACTTGGGCAGTGTTGATGGAAAACATCCCACAGGTATGAGCCTTCTTATGAAATGACTTTCCAGGGCCACATAGCAGGTATTGATCCCCAAGAGCA